GCCTTTTGTCTCTTTTTAAAAAGTCTCATTCATGGGGCCAGCAGGTGGCATGGTGGTTAAGGTGCTGAACTCTGACATGGCTGACCATGGTTCGAGTCTCAGATCTGGCAGTTTGAAATTCATGCAAGGTGCACGTGTGTGTGTATGCCCAAAATCCTGAGAGGAGAGGAATGAGAAGGGACTGCAGTTTGCCCATCCCCTGTGGGGGTGAGGGGTGACTTCTCACAATCTTTCTCTCTGTCTCTCTGGTGAGTGCACATGCCCTATAGCAAAATCGCTCTAAAAAAAGAATAAAAGGGGCCAGTAGTTAGTGTGTTAGTTAGCACTGGATTCCCACATGGCTGACCATGGTTCTAGTCCTGGACCTAGTGGCTTGCTTTCTCACTTTCTCTCTCTTGCTCTCTCTGACTCTTTCTGGTGAGCATATAGCTCCTATAACAAATTAAAAATAATGATAAATAAATTTAAATAAGTAATTTATTTTTAATTAGGAAAAAAGAAAAAAGTGTCATTTATTACCACTTCAAATATGGCTGTACATTATTCTCTAATTCTATTTCTAAGATCTCAATTATATGTGTTTTAGACAATGTTCACATTGCCCTTGTATCTCTTTCACATGTTCATTTTTCATTGTCTTTGCTTCAGTCTGGTTATTTTCTTCAGCCCTGTCTTTCACTTCATTAATTCCCTCTTCAGCTCTGCCTAATCTGCAGTTAAAACCATCCAAGGATCTCTTACTTCATTTCATGTATTTTTCAGTTTAAATATTTACATTTGATTCTTCAGTAAGAGTTTCTCATTTCTGCTAATATTTTCTCATTTGTATTTTATCCCTGAACACACAATTGTAATATTTTTTAATTTGTCTGGGAATTTCATTATCCTACATGTATGTTTCTAATAACTATATTTTAAAATATTTTTCTTATTTTAGCTAAACAATGATTTTATTGCTTGAGGGCAAAAATTTATGCAATGAGAGCAGAGGTTGTGGATGACTCATATTTCCAATTGGTTGGGAGGACTCATTTGGCCTTATAATAATGAGCCAATCAGTAAAGTCTGCTCTCAATCAGAATCAGACGGAATTTGGCATCATTATCCTTTCTGTTCCTCTCCAGTTGCTTTCAAATACAAATGGCCTTCTTAATTAAATGGAAGAGAGCCTCATGAAGATCAGTAGTATGTCTTTTTGACTTAAGGATTCTCAAGATTTTATTGCCTGTCACAAAATGTATTTGTGCAATTCCATGTGAGTCCCTTAGGATCACACTGATTTGAGAAAGAGTCAGGCCAGTTTGTAAATCTGCTCCGTCAGGTCAACAGACATCAACTTCCGCCAAGTGGGAATGCTGGGTGACAGGGTAGAGCCAACTGGAATAAGCCCTTCCTGGAGTATGCATGCAACCTGTGATGGCAGCAGTCTGGCAGCAAAAGAGCTAAAAATCTTTTTTAAAACCTTAATTTTTATTTTTTTAGTTTATGCCAGACATTTCATATGATGTACTGAAGAAATAAATGATTTTAGGTTCTGTACACTATTATCTCCCTTGATGAAAGACTTAATTTTTCTTCTGCCAGCTAGATAAACTATAAGCAGATCCCCATAATCCAATGAAGGACTGAAAGATTCAAAGGTAAGTTCATTCTCACTAGAAGAGTTTAAAACTTCAGGAACCAGGCTAAAACACTAAGAATGTGCCAAGATTCCTCTTCCTTAGCACACCTAGAAATCCAGTTTTGGTCCTTCATAGTTACTGATAAAAGTACTGCTGGGTTTCTCAGGCAGTTTTCAGGATTTATAATTCTCTCAAGGACAAAAGTTGCGAGGAAGGTCAGTCTCACCTTCATTAATAGTCTACCTATCCAATTGAAAAGTCTCACTGCCTTGACAGTTCTCTGATACCTTAAGTAGATATAATTTCTAATTTTTCTCCATGGAAGTAATAATCCAACAAATACTGCATTTTACCATTGAGAAAAAAATTCTTCTGAACACACTTCCTAGCATCTCAATGAAGTGGCCTATGTACTTAGTCATAGCTACTAAAATAAAACCTTCCTAAGGTAGTAAAAATTAAAGATCAGTGTAGACAATGGATGCCATATACTGACATTTTAAAATTACGTCAAGGTTGACAATAACCTGATACACCCTGATACACAGTGTAATCCATACATAATAGCAAACTCAACAACAAAAAGCATCAAAACCCTAAGAATGTCACAAGTTTTAAAGATTACAGAAAAATCAATTTAGCGTTTACATATCCACTAAATTTTTGAAATGAAATACTCAAAAAATTTATAAATAATTTTATTAAATTCTCCTTCAGGAAAAATATCTAATGCCTCTTGCCAGGATTGATCATTATATTCTTTTACATAGAAGTTGACTTTGGAAAGTTTCCAGGTAAGGAAGCATGTAAAATCTGAGAAAAAATCCATTCAAATGGTGAGTAACAATTAAATATCTCATTTTGAATTTATTCACATAATATTCAGTCCTGCTTTTTATTTATTCATTTCTAACAAGATTCTTCCCTGGGGCCAGCAGGTGGTATTGTCGTTAAGATGCTGGGCTCCCACATGGTCGACTGCAGTTCAAGTTCCAGACCTGGTGGCTTAAAAATCACACCAGATATATGTACATACATGCCCAAACGCCTAAGAGAAGAATGAAGGAAAAGGGATTGCTGTGAGGCCATCTCCTCTGAGGGTCGATTTCTCACTTTCTCTTTCTGCCCCTCCTTCCTTTTGGCAAATGCATGCACTCACTGGCAAAAAATTTTTTAAAAAAATCCTTTCCTGAGCACTGCCATTTCCACTATTATTGTTGTGAACTCTGCTGTATCTTTTCTGCTAAAGAAGTTTTCCTTCCTTTTATGGTATGATATAATACCTACTATATATGCAAAATTTTTAAGTAGATTGATAATGCCTTAATTACTTAATTATAATTCATCCTGTAAGCATAAAGTAAAAAGGAGAAAGTTAGAAATATTAAATAAGAAATAAGAAAAAATGTTTGTTAAATAAATGAGAAAAACTGGGGACCAGCAGTTAGCGTAATGGTTATGTCGCTGGACTCCCATGTAGTCAACTGCGGATCGAGTCCTGGACCTGGTGGCTTAAACTCACACTGGGCGTGTGTGCGTGCGTGCCCAAGATCCCGAGAGGAGAATGGAGGAGAATGGATTGCGGCATGGCCATCCCCCCAGTGGGTGATTTCTCGCTTTCTGTTTCTCTGTCTCTCTCTTTCTGGCGAGCGCACACGCCCTATAGCAAAAACATCTCCAAAAAAAAGAAAAACAAATAAATAAATGAAAAAAATTGACATTGAATATTTAGACAAAATAAATAAATAATAATGTAACAGATTAAACAAAATAAAATTAACGAAATCGCCAAAAGAAAATATAATTCCACCTTTTTTCAAAAAAAAAGTAGAAATTAGGACAAATGCTTGAAAGTGATGAGTAGAACTAATCACAATTCGCTGGGAAAGTATGTATTTCCTTTAACACAGAAAGTAACTTCATATTAAAATTTTAAAAGAATGTACAGTGTATTAAAACAAACTACTAAAAAGAGTCATTTTCCAGATTTTATAAGGGGAAATAAATACAAGAAAAATTTCATTTTAAAATTTAGATACCTAAGAAATCAATAAGTAAAAATTTATTGAATTAATGAATAATATTTCAAACATATGATAATATTATGGGTAGAAATAGGCAATTCACTAAGTAGGAAACACAGTGTCAAATGAACATTTATAAAAGACACTTATTCACAATAATATAAGGGAAATGTACAGTAAAATATCATTAAGATATCATTCATAGCCAACACTTTAGCAAAAGTTAAAATCCTCACAATTATCCAGTGTTGGTAAGAACGTGAAACAGGGACGCTCACCCAACTGATGGAAAGATACTTTACCACGATGACTAAAATACCAATTCTGCACCAAGTAATAAAATTGAGGATGTGAATACAATAGGATGTAGCAATTTCACTTTAAAGTACATAACCTCGAGAAATTATTGAACATGTGCATGAGACCAGTACAAGACGTGCAATGCAGCACTGTTTTAACACAAAGGAAGATGTACCTAAATGCAACAAGCCTTGTACTTCACATGAAGTAAGACAATAAAAGTGATTTATTTTTAACTGACAAATGAAGAGCTGAACACATAAGTGCCATCTGGTTCTGGCTAAACCTGTGGGTGAACAGTAGTGTTAAGATTCTGTCAGGGATGCCTACCTCTCTCTTTTCCTCTCTAACTTAGGAAATAAATAAGTAAATGTTTGAAAAACAAAAATCAATAATACAATAAATTTACAAATGATGATTATCAATACAAAGAAGAACGAATCCCAGAAGAGATGGCATCAAAGCTTAAGGTTACAGTGGTACACACAATCACTCATCTAAAATGAATTATATCAGCACTTATAAGTAATGCATACAAAGGAAGTATTTTTATAAGATAAGATACTATTTAAGTTCTTTTTTGTCTGAGCACGTGTGCTCAAGAGGGAGAGACAGAAAGAGGGAGAAAGCACCCCCCTCCAATGAAACATGGTCATGCCTCAATGTGTTTCCCCCTACTTCTCTATCCTGTTGGAATTCGAAGCATATACACACATGTTCCCACCATGTTTTTCAAGTCACCAGGATTAAGACTTGAACTATGCGGTCAGCCATGTGGGAATTTGGCTGACTTAACCACTAGGTGGAGACTAAGATCAGAAACCATTTAAAACCATTTTAAAATCAATCATTTACTGTAATGATGGCTACATTAAAAATGTATTATTTATGCCAAATGATAGCTACATAATAGCATATCGATAACTGAAATAAAGATGAAAATAGTCCAAGAATTTCTCCCTGAAAATATTTAGCTAACACTATGACTATACAAATATAAAATACAGGTAATGTCAAATATTTTCTTTATTATTCTTCTACCCAATATACTCACCAAGTCTTAGTGTTAACTTCGTACTTATAAAGATCATCTACCAATCCATATTTATTGCCTGGTAATGCTTTATAGCCTCCATGAACATAAACAGACTTTGTTATTTCATCATATACACTGGTATGACCATATCCACCTTGCACAATAGCTCCTTTTGTTTCTGGAACAAGCCAAGTGTTTGATGCTAAAACAAAAAGAAAATAAATCATGAACTTGAAGTAGCGGTCAAAACATAACTAATACATCACCAAAATTACCAATGAGTTCATTCTCAAACACATTTATGAAGAAATATAGTATACCTAGTATTCATATCATAAACACTTCTTAATGGCCCAGATGTAGTAGCACATTCATAGTGCTACTGCCTAGGAGTCCAGAAGCCTCATAGGAAGCCCAAGTTGTCTCTGGGCCAACCTAAACACACCAGACACAACTGTGCACATTTATAACTGGCTAATTAGGAAGCTGGGCCAGGAGGATAGCAATTTGATAAAACTTGGTCTCATGGGACCAGCAGTTAGTGTAATGGCTATGTCGTTGGACTCCCATGTAGTCGACTGTGGTTTGAGTCCCAGACCCGCTGGCTTAAAAACTCACGTCGGGCACCTGTGTGTGCATGCCCAATATCCCGAGAGGAGAATAGAGGAGAAGGGATTGTGGCGTGGCCATCCTCCCTGGGGGGTTATTTCTCACTTTCTGTCTCTCTCTTTCTTTCTGGCTAGCGCACGTGCCCTATAGCAAAAATCTCTCAAAAACAAACAAAAAAAAAAACACCTCAGTCTCATTCTCAAAGGGGAGAAATAAAAGAAACACTTATTAAATATGTGCCAGATACTATATTAGGTGCAGAAGTTGAAGATGAGTTGAAGATCTTCCCATAGATGAAATTAAACTCTGAAATACAGAAAATCCAATTTTTGTATGTACAAGAGAAAAAATAAAACCTTATTATATGCATTTTAGTATCCATAAATAATCCTGAAAAATTATTTAATAAATATTTTATGAAAGCTTACTATGCAACAGATTCTGACTTAGTCACTGATATTACAAAGAATAAAAATAACATAATCCTTGTCCTTAACAATATATAATTAATTGAATAATTTTTTTTTTTTGAGGAGGAGAGGTTTTTGCTATAAGGCTCGTACACTCACCCGAAAGACAGAGAGAGAAAAAGCAAGAAACCACCCCCCAGGGAGAATGGCCATACTGCAATCTGTTCTCCTCCATTCTCCTCTGGGGATCTTGGGCACGCACACACGTGCACTCATCGTGAGTTTAAGCCACCAGGTCCAGGACTCGAACCACGGTCGACTACATGGGAGTCAAGCAACATAGCTATTATGCCAACTGCTGATCCTGATTAACTGAATAATTTTTAAAATTTTTAGCACTGTGCCAGTCTTTTATCCTTTGATTTGAGCTCCACTTTCCTTTTTATTAAGTCCTATGTATGGTTCATGATAAAAACCTGAAAATTACATCTCCAAGAGTCTTGAAACTGGATCACTGTTTAGTCCCACCACTGTTAGAACTGGTAAGAGATTAGAAGGCAAGGCGAAGAAAGACTTGCTTTTGCCTCTAGCAGCATTAACAGACTAAAACAGGTAATGGCAGTGGTGTCTTTATTTTTTCCATTTCTGTGACCTTAGAACTACATTAAGCTACATTAGAACTACTTAGCATTATTAGTATGACTAATAACATACTAATACGCAACAGATATTTAAGAATCTCATACTATTTTGGAACACCCATTGACACAAATTTCTATACACAGAGAGCTAAACACCATTTCATATTTGACAATGTTTCTCATAATTTCAACACGTTAGAAAGTCTAATCTGTCTTTTTTTTTAAGTTGTGGCAATAGTCAGCACTTTTCCTTTTTAGCACAAGTACATGAAAAGTAAATATATTTACAGATTTAACCTGAAACTTTTCTAAAAGCGATTCCAAAGTAAATCTTTACTACAACATGCATATAATTTAACATTGGCACACATACATTTTTTTTTTCATTTGGCTCACAATAACTTAAGGGTATAAAACCACCATAACTGACAGTGGTGTCCTTATAACACTGAACATGTGTGGTTTCTTTCAGTGGCAGAAGTGACACCTCCAGTTGCTCAGAGGCAAAAGTGATCATATCCTCCAGCATGTGGATGTCTGGGTGATTTCTTTCCTTTGGTCTTCCTGCCCCTTTTAGCATTTTGGTAGTTAATTCCCTATATTAAATTCCATTCGGCTTGCTATATCTAGAAAAGACTCATTCCCTACTACATATTCATTTATAGAAAACATCAACCATATGTAAGACACACTTTTAAGAATATGGTAATAAAGATATGTAGTATCTTGGCTTAGGACATTTATATTTTAATGAGCAGTTATTTAGATACCATGAGTCTTTAAATATGCACCCAGACCACACCTCTTTTTCCCTCTAACTGATCATTTATACTCTGGCATCTTGGATAGCTCATTACAAACCCCTGAACTGATCAAGCCAGTGACAGTGCAGTAATACAACACTCTGCAATGCTGGACCCACTGGGAAGATCCTGGGTTTGTGTCCAAGGCCTCCCTACGTACGTCAGGCACACGTGCATGTGCTCACAATCCAGGCTGGATGAGGCTGACGGTGGATCACAGGGGAAGAACCCTGATGGGAATGCCTGTCTCCATCTTTCTCTCTCTGTCTCTCTCTTACATAAAAGAAATAAACTTTTTTAAAATACTCAAATTAACTAAGAGAAAAAGAAGAAATGCTTATAAACACTTTGTATTCACAAGATTCTGAGGTAGTGAAGACAGTGATTCTTCAATGGTCATGAGAAACACATGTATCAAAACGGAGTCAGTGAAGTCAATTATGCTTTATGAAACTAAAAACATATGAAGTAACATCATAATATTTATGTATCTAATGGACAGTATTTTAGAGCTAATTTCCAAAAATCAAAGTAAATAATAACTTGTCAGAAATAATTTAACTAATATTCAACCACTTTTTAAAGCTATGGATATGTATCCAAACTAATGGTTTTTCATTCTCTAATTAAAAAGATAAATTTCTCTTTATAGAAAAATATTTAATAAAGAAGTATATATTGTAAAATTGAAAGTAACTTCTCCTCTAGCCCATTATCTATAGGTATTTTTCACAATTTATTGTATTTAGACTATTTTCAAAGTACAGGTCTGAGTATTTTAGTACAAATACAAAACACATGTAAATGGCCTACATATACATACATATATATAAAATTTGTGTCCCCCAAAATAATATTGGTATGTTGCCTCTAGCAGCATTAACAGACTAAAACAGGTAATGGCAGTGGTGTCTTTATTTTTTCCATTTCTGTGACCTTAGAACTACATTAAGCTACATTAGAACTACTTAGCATTATTAGTATGACTAATAACATACTAATACGCAACAGATATTTAAGAATCTCATACTATTTTGGAACACCCATTGACACAAATTTCTATACACAGAGAGCTAAACACCATTTCATATTTGACAATGTTTCTCATAATTTCAACACGTTAGAAAGTCTAATCTGTCTTTTTTTTTAAGTTGTGGCAATAGTCAGCACTTTTCCTTTTTAGCACAAGTACATGAAAAGTAAATATATTTACAGATTTAACCTGAAACTTTTCTAAAAGCGATTCCAAAGTAAATCTTTACTACAACATGCATATAATTTAACATTGGCACACATACATTTTTTTTTTCATTTGGCTCACAATAACTTAAGGGTATAAAACCACCATAACTGACAGTGGTGTCCTTATAACACTGAACATGTGTGGTTTCTTTCAGTGGCAGAAGTGACACCTCCAGTTGCTCAGAGGCAAAAGTGATCATATCCTCCAGCATGTGGATGTCTGGGTGATTTCTTTCCTTTGGTCTTCCTGCCCCTTTTAGCATTTTGGTAGTTAATTCCCTATATTAAATTCCATTCGGCTTGCTATATCTAGAAAAGACTCATTCCCTACTACATATTCATTTATAGAAAACATCAACCATATGTAAGACACACTTTTAAGAATATGGTAATAAAGATATGTAGTATCTTGGCTTAGGACATTTATATTTTAATGAGCAGTTATTTAGATACCATGAGTCTTTAAATATGCACCCAGACCACACCTCTTTTTCCCTCTAACTGATCATTTATACTCTGGCATCTTGGATAGCTCATTACAAACCCCTGAACTGATCAAGCCAGTGACAGTGCAGTAATACAACACTCTGCAATGCTGGACCCACTGGGAAGATCCTGGGTTTGTGTCCAAGGCCTCCCTACGTACGTCAGGCACACGTGCATGTGCTCACAATCCAGGCTGGATGAGGCTGACGGTGGATCACAGGGGAAGAACCCTGATGGGAATGCCTGTCTCCATCTTTCTCTCTCTGTCTCTCTCTTACATAAAAGAAATAAACTTTTTTAAAATACTCAAATTAACTAAGAGAAAAAGAAGAAATGCTTATAAACACTTTGTATTCACAAGATTCTGAGGTAGTGAAGACAGTGATTCTTCAATGGTCATGAGAAACACATGTATCAAAACGGAGTCAGTGAAGTCAATTATGCTTTATGAAACTAAAAACATATGAAGTAACA